GAATTTAGGTGTTCAGGCTGACGTAGAACTAACTGGCCTGCAGAAGATAACGAATAAAACACAGATTTTAAGACAGGATTTATTTTTTTAAATAGAAATTTCATGATTTTGGGACAATATGGTCTGATAAAGAGAACATTTATATACATGTTTAAGCCAGAATGACATTTAAATATTATTTCCCTAGAACTAAGAATTGCAGTGAACGATGTCGCACTAAAAATCTAAAATCTGAAAATAACAAAACTACCATTTTTAAAATTGTATTAATCTAAGTTTAACTGATTATTTTTAATGTGTAAAAGACATTCAACATTGTTCACAACACCTTAAAAAAACAAACAATTTAAACAGAAATTAAACAGGTCAGCTATGTAGTTTCTGTATACCCCCCCCATCATAGAATGCCCTTGAATCAGAGGATCTGTCCATCCGCTGGTTCCTGGGATCAGAGATGAACATCTGATCTCTGATAGGAGCCCAGAGGGAGATCCAGTGATGGAGGAACATTCTTCCTTTGACTCCACTGATGCAAATCATGCAAACAAGCAGGCTAGTCTATGAGGCAGGCAGAATAAACACAGACAGGCGCACACACCAGAGGCAGGTGCTGCGGTCTTACTCTGATCTCGGCTGCCTTGGCCAGGACTCGCTCATCCATTTCTATCACCTCTGTGTCTCCAGGAGATGACCAACATATGAAGCAAGAATGTTTCAGCAGGTTGGAGAAGGAGCATTCGTTTTTCCAGCCTGCCTTCCCTGCATCCTCCCCTGGTTCCTGGGATTTCTCTATTTTCTCCTGCTGCACTGCTGGCTCCTCCATTGCTGCACTCCCTCAGTGTGGCTTCACTGCAGAGGAGGCGGAGCCCCCCTCAGCCTGTGTGTAGATGTGTCTCTGATGAGTGGCTCAGTGGCTTCAGACAGACGGACAGGAAGCAGCAGCTCCAACCTGCTAGAAACAGAAAGCTGGAGTCCAACGGATGGAGCAGCATCTTCTGGGCTTTCATGGCTTCATGTCATTTGTCTTCCACCCCTCTCCCTCCAACCGTTGGGCTGTTCTGTCTCACACCCCCATCCGGCTCTCCCTCCCCCACCGTTCATGGCTCTCACTGGCCTCTGCAGTATGCGTCAGTCTGCTCACAGCATCCCATCATTCATAAAAAACACAAGAATCATTGAAACGGAGGAGAATTACTCTGCTCTGCAGAAACCTTCATTTTTATCACTTTCACTCAGATATTGATCTCAGCTCATGCTGTAAAATTTCACCTTTTCTTTGAATAACTGAACAGGATTGAACTGTTTTAAACATCGAGCATTTATGGAGCTCGCTGTGACTTATTTTAGTCATGAACACGGGCAGATTTAGGAAATGTGGGGCCCTAAGCAAAGGCAGGCAGGGGCCCTCTGAAT